AGTTTATTGTGTGATTTCCTTTATTCCCTTGTTTGAGCCTAATCAAAAATGCTACAGTAATAGTAGATTTGCATTTCTGCTTCTGCTCCTCACTCACATTTTTTTAAAAAGCCTGTGAATTTTAAGTTCTGTGAACTTTTCAAAACTTGGAATGCTTCACGCTTGAATTGAATTTCTGAATGATAGTTGAAGACCTCTGTTATTAGAACCAATTCATACCCCTTTAGTCACAGTACCAAAACCTCCTTCTCTTACTGACTTCAAATAAACACTCTCATTAAATTCAATCTAGTTCAAATAGGGATAGATTTCTCACACAGTTCTTTTGTGTTTATTATTTGTTCCTGCTTCGGTAAAAAGAGAGAAAGAGTCCCTTTTGCTTTGAACGTATTCTTTCTCTAGAGCAGCAGCACAGAGTTTTTGCACCATCATCTTGATTTTGATTTTCCTGAATTTGCACACCTTACCTTATGACAACTTCTCTCAAATATTGCCTTTTATTGTGCCACAGAATGCTCTTCCTTAAGCCTTTCTTCAAAATTCACAGTTCCTCTGGTTTTATGCAATTAGTGGTAACTGAGGAAGTAGTAAGAGCCTATTGCTCTTTGCCACTGGTTTGGGCACCCACATGGCCCCACAATATGCCAACATTTTTATGGCTGACCTGGAACAACGCTTTCTCAGCTCTTGTCCACTAGTGCCCCTTCTCTACTTACACTACATTGATGACATCTTCATCATCTGGACCCATGGAAAAGAGGCTCTGGAAGAATTCCACCACAGTTTCAACAAATTTCACTCCACCATCAACCTCAGCCTAGACCAGTCTACACAAGAGATCCACTTCCTGGACAGTATGCTTCAAATAAACACCACCCTATACCGAAAACCTACTGACCTCTATGCCTACCTTTATGCCTCCAGCTTCCATCTCAAGCATACCACACGATCCATTGTCTACAGCCAAGCGCTAAGGTACAATCGCATCTGCTCCAACTCCTCAGAGAGATACAAACACCTACAAGATCTTCACCAAGCATTCTTAAAACTACAATACCTGCCAAGGAAGTGAGGAAACAGATTAACAGAGCCAGACGTGTACCCAGAAGCCTCCTACTACAAGACAAGCCCAACAAAGAAACCAACAGAATATCACTGGCCATCAGCTACAGTCCTCAGCTAAAACCTCTCCAACACCTTATTAGTAATCTATAATCCATCCTGGACAATGATCCCTCACTTTCACAGGCCTTGGGAGGCAGACCAGTACTCGCCCACAGACAACCCATCAACCTGAAGCAAATTCTCACCAGTAACTATACACCGCACCACAGTAACTCTAACTCAGGAATCAATCTCTGCAACAAATCTTAGTGACAACTCTGCCCACATATCTACATCAGTGACACCATGACAGGTTCATTCACCTGTACATCTACCAATGCCAGCTATGCCCCTCTGCTATATACTTCGGCCAAACTGCACAGTATCTACGTAAAAGAATAAACGGACACAAATCAGATATCAGGAATGGTAATATACAAAAACCTGTAGGAGAACACTTCAATCTCCCTGGACACACAGTAGCAGATTTAAAGGTAGCTATCCTGCAACACAAAAACTTCAAGAACAGACTTTAAAGAGAAACTGATGAGCTTCAGTTCATCTGCAAATTTGACATCATCACATTAGGATTAAACAAAGACTGTAAATGGCTAGCCAACTACAAAAGCAGTTTCTCCTTTCTTGGAGTTCACACGTCCACATCAGCTGCTAGAAGTGGGTCTCATCCTTCCTGACTGAATTGACCTTGTTATCTCTAGCCTAGAGTGATTGGTACTATTTTCTTATTCCTGTATATTTATACCTGCCTCTGGAATTCCCACTACATGCATCTGACAAAGTGGGCCTTAGCCCATGAAAGCTTATGCTCCAATAAATCTGTTAGTCTATAAGGTGCCACAGGACTCCTTGTTGCTTTTGTTAGGGCAGTTAGGGCAGTGTTTCTCAACCAGTGATACGAGTACCCTTTGGGGTACTTGAGATATTTGGGGATCGGGGTACATCAACACAACTGAAATTTGGAGAAAACTGATTTTTTGTTTTAAGTTTTACAGCATTTTTTTTATTTTTGTATTTTTTACCCCCAAAATGTCATTGTTCGCCTGGCTACAATTAAGTTGTTCAAACAAATGTGTTGCAATGGTAGAAAAAACTACGAGTGTCTGAAAACTGTAGCTATTGGGGGTACTTATACATTTTTTTTAAAGGAGTACTCTATTTAAAAAAAGTTGAGAAACTCTGAGTTAACATATGTCTACACTGCGGGACAAAGTTGAAATAAGATATACAACTTCAGCGATGTTAATTGTGTAGCTGAAGTTAAAATTGCTTAACTTGGCTTTTGGTGCCATCTACACAGCAGGAAGTCAAAGAAAGAACACTTTTCTAGCATCGACAGGAGTGCCCCCGTCAGTTGAAATTAGCTGTATTAATTCAACTGCTAATTCAAACCCTGGAAGATCAACAGCAGCTACTTCAATCTTCCTCTACAGTGTTGAGGTACCCTTACTGTATTTTTCTTCCCCTATTTTTTTATGGCAAAACATTTTAAACTAGTAGTCAACTTTTAAAATGTTTATTGAACAACTTTTAAGGGCTCCAAAATACTCACATCTTTTGTCAAATACATAGATTAGCATTCTAGATTGTTATTTTCATAGTAGTTTTTACCTCTTTATGGTGGAAATTTAATGAAGAATTATAAGAATTGTAATGCAGAATTAGTATGTAACACTAATGTCCAGGTGTTATGAATGTAACAAGCAGTTATGTAACAACATGCTCAAAATGTAACTGTAACCACCCGATGAAGAGTCTGAAATGTAACACCCCGTATAAGGCTTACAGTAGACTTGTGAATATCAAAGGACTGTCTGAATATTTGTTGTTAATGTATGTTAAAATCACGACCATGTAAAATAGCATGGTTTATTTCAAAATGGCTTCCTAGACTCCATTTTGAAATAGGTTCCATTCTCTTGGCATCCATTAGAGAACTTAAGCCATGTCACGTATTACACATCTCACAGGTATGTCTGTTAGAGTTTGAACATAATGATATGCATACCTGTTAGAATTTGAATATCTATTAATATGCATGAGTCACATGCGTCCTCCAATAGATTCAAAATATGCCAAAAGAGCATCATATGAGGACCAATCAATTTAAACTTCGGAACTCATGCATATTCATGAATCTAGGCTATTTAAGTCTCTGCCACACAGCAGTTTATTCTGTCTCTAGGCTTATCCTAGGACTGCTGTTGCATCGGGTTCGTCGGGTTCTAGGTTAGGTGGGAGTAGAAGATATCCCATTCTTAGTCCTAGGTTCCTGATGTGAGAGAGAGGTCTAAATCAGTCTTTTAAGTAAGCTGGGCAGAAGGCTCATGCTTTCTTATTATTTAGGTTTAGATTAGTTTTAGTTAGCTTAGGATTAGTATAGGTTAGATATCGTCTTCGTGTCTGTCCGGCAGGCTGCATCGGTTCGAAGCATTTTGGCCGTCTTCGAGTCTGTTCAGCGGGTGCGTCGCGATTTAGATTAGCATAGAGTAGAAACAGAGTCAACCATCGTCTGATCCTGCCGCTCCGAAGTGTGGGAAGAGAGGGCGAGGGCCAGACGCTTTGCGGAAGGTGAACCAACCACCATCACACTCTACCTGTACATCGAGGGATCTCCTTGGCTGGTCCTCGCCCAGGGCTTACAAATAGCCAGAGGCTTGAGGTCGCCAAGCGTCAGGATCATCTGCCAAGGGATGCCTGGCTGGTCCTCACCCAAGGCTTACAATTAGCCAGAGGCTTGAGGTCGCCAGCAACACCACCATCGTCTCCGCGCCGACTGACTCTGTAAGTAGGTATAGGAACCTTGGAGGGACTGCCCCTCCAACGTTCATGTATTTTAGGAAGGGGACTGCCCCCTATTCATTTGAGGTATATGTTTGTTAAATTTAATGTAAAACAATATAGTCTAGTGGTCTAACTTTATCCATCGTGTTAAATTTTTATTTTCGTGACATACCTCTGAGATAGACAATTCCCAGGTGATTAGATACTGGTTGGCATCCCGCACCTGAAATACCATCCCAAAGCGGATGTGTATAGTTCCTAGGTAACTGTCCGGAGAGCTATTCCTAATAGTTTCTCTGAATCTGTTAAATCAGGTAACAGAATGAAGTAAAAACTTGTTCCTTTAACAGTGAAGAAGAAGAAGTTACTCGCTTTGTGCAGTAACGATGGTTCTTCGAGATGTGTGTCCCTGTCGGTGCTCCATTGTGGGTGTCAGGCTCATCCCGGCGCTGCAGATTGGAGATCTTTTAGCTATCATCTGCCGGACGGTGCCGATGTAGTTGGCGGGCTTGGCGCCGAAACGTGCGGGGCTGATGCCGATGTTGGTGCCGGAACGGGTGCTGGCATCGGTGCCGACTTTGGCAGCGGTGTGGTATGTACTGCTGGGCTCGGTGCCGATTAACTGCTCACCTGTTTTTCCTTGTCCAGCCTGCAGGCCACCACCAATCCAGAGGTGCCCTGCTTGTCTCCCGTACTTACTCGAGCTGATGGTAAGGAGAGAGACGGTGAACAACTTTTCTTTGTATGTGTTGCCTTCAGAGAAGGTCGATGGGCCATTGTCAGGAGAAGCTGCGGTGGGTTTGAAGAATCCATCTGTGGCTGAAGAGCTTTATTGAATAAAAGCATCTTGAGCCGCATCCCCTCTATCACATCGTGCTTGGGCTGTCAGTTTTAAGCAGTTGGAACACTTTTGTGGGATGTGTCCATCACCAAGGCATCTTATACATGACGCATTCCTATCCGATGCTGGCATTGACTCTTGGCATGTTGTGCATTTCTTGAATCCTGGCGATCCTGGCAAGAGTGGATGTATTTTAATTTAAAACTTTTTTTTTTTGGCGAACGTGCAAACTATGTTACGAAGAACTATGAAGTAATAAACTATAATGACAAACTATATACAGATTTCTCCTCTCTCAATTCCTGACAGGATTAATATGAGAGGGAGCTGTTTCTCCGTCTGTGCCCAAAGATGGTTAGAAGGAACTGGCGGGAGCTGGACCACGTGACCAAAAACGGCGCGAAAAGCCGCAAGATGGCCGCCACGTATGCGCGGTCTGAAAAACGACAGCTAAAAGATCTCTGATCTGCGTTGCCGGGAGGAGCCCAATACCCACAGTGGAACACCCACAGGGACACTACCCAAAGAAGAAGTAAATATATGCATGGCAGGTTCATGCAAGATTCACAGACTAAGTTTATGAAATCCTTGTGACAATCTCATTCTGGTGAATGTTCTTAAGAATAAATCTAAAATTTAAAGAGTAGACTATATGAAAATACTGTTCTTACAGGATTTCAAAATTGATTTCCAATCTAAGAAAACTTAAATATTCAGATTTAGCCCTAACATAATATTTTATGCTTATTGACTCAATCTTTTTTACCTTGGCCATCAAACTTGCTACTTAGTTACATTAGGTCACAAAGATCCATCTTCCAGTATCCTAAAGCCCTGGAATCCCCCCAGTCTCCAGGAAATTGGAATGAAACTAACATGTAACAGCTAGCACTCCTTGTGCACTTGAGTTAGCACTAGTTCTAGACTGAACCTATTAAGTTTCATACAAATAGAAATAAGTTTTTTCCTCTATTCATTTTCATTTTTTATATTCCCAGTTGAAATAGGACTAGCAGCAGAAACCACAATGGTAAAAAATGGGTGTCTAAAGTAAGGTTCCTAAATGTATATTTAGACATTTCAATTTTCAAGAGTGCTGGAGGATTCAACAGCTTCTGATGACACCATTGAAAGCTGGTAGTCATGCATCATTTTTTAAAAGATTACAAATTTAATCACCCACCCAGATTTTGAAAAGCTATTCCAAAAAGTGTTGGAAGGTTGTTATAACTGTATCAACCTTTCCCAGAAACAGGGCATAAAAATATATGTTTAAAATACATTTTCTTGTAGATTTTACAGACAAGTTTTGCAAACCTAAATGAGTTCCTTGATCTGAGCCAAACCTCTGTACTGTTGATGTTTTCTCATCACTTGTACAGTCAAGTGGTCAGATATTAAAACTACCTAATGCAAAAATACCTGCCCAAGTGCTAAGATTTCTGAGCTATACAAAGATGATGTATTTTAAATACAGTTATAATAAGAACAGGAAATTGTGTATTGAGTTAATTGATTGACAACCATCAAGAACACTGAGAAGATCCATGCATAAGTTAAATCTCATTTAATTATAATTTTGTTCTCAAGAAGGATCACAGGTTTACAAAAATAAAAGCTTATAAAGTTGTCACAGAAAATTATGGAGCCACTGAAAGTTACAAAAGGAAATAAATAAAACCCACACAGGACATCAGCTACAGTGTTACTTTTACTACTCTAAGAATTCCCCATTTGAAAGCAACGGAGAAAGCTGTCTTTAGAAAATGGGAGACCAGATGAATTGTAAAAGTGAGATAGAATTCTGACAAATAGGAGCATATAGAATGCAAATTCAGACTGGCAAAACATAACCCCCTCCAGCATTAGCAATCTACAATAGCCAAAGGGTTCCCAAGCATAGGTGTTTCAACATGAGCCTATTAAATTGGCATGCCTATCTGTCAAATGTCTGAACCTTACTGTTTTTATGAGCTCTGAGGATAGTTTGAACCTATCACATTCAGTTAGTACATTGATATGATACTTTGATTCCCATACCCGTATATAGACCCTATCAACCCAGTTCATATTCTATTTTAAATGTATTTATATTGGCTTCTTGTTAACACAGATTCAGTTTCTTGTCCTCAGTCATGTACCAATATTTTCCATTTGATTACAGAAAGTTTATGTTCTTAAATAGCATTAGCTATAGGAATAGTTTGCAAAGAGGCATGCTCACAACTTGACTAATGTCTTGTGCATCCTGCTTCAGTGAATATAATGTGGCCTGTCTGAAAGGCCATTTCCTTACTATTAATACAGTACAGCACATGGGAAGGTAAACTGAATAATTTGGCGAGGTTAGAAAAGCTACTAAAATGAAAGTCTGAAAAATGAAAGTCTGAAAAATGAAGATTTTGTTGTTTCTTCTTTTGAAGAATCTTACAGTAAAACAAGCTTTCTATGTTAATGTTCTTAACTGGTACAAGAAAACATACATTTTTCTTCATACAAATTAGTTTGAAGTATTTCATCTACTGCCAATGAGAAATAGCATTAGTTGAAGTTAATTTTATGGAATGATTATATGCAAGTTACTTCTCTTTGAAACAAAGTCATTATTACAGGGGCTTCAGGTCTCAGATGTTAGTCCAGATAGTACATTAAATATTTCAGTGCAGAGAGGGAAATACTATATAAAATTTGCTTAGATCCCCAACTTTGAAAATAATCCACACTTCTTATGTAGCAATTCCAGATTTTGAAAACTTTCTTCTAATTATGAGAAAGCCATTAAAGAATTAGAATAGAACCAAATATTTTTGAAGCCACATTCTGTGATTGGCTTTGTTTTAATAAATCCAGGGAGGTCACTTGTTGTTGTTGGTTTTTTTTTTTAAGGAAGTGTGGTATTGTGATCTCCGCTATTTACATCAGCATCTTATATTCCCTAAAAGACTTTTACGTGTATTGATTAGAGTGCAACAAAAGAAAAATAAAGTTGCCACAGCTGAACCCTGAAGCTATCAAGATTCTGTAGAGCAACTAATCAAATTCAAGAAATAAAGGTAACAAAGGTTTTCTTTTCATGTTATCTCCTGGAGCGCTAACTGTTTTCCAGGAGCTGTTTCCTCTCCCTCAGCCCAACTTTGTGACATCCTGTGTGTAGACCTTGATTACAAATGAACTACAGTTTCCTCACATGACTAAGTCCTCAAAAGATCATAGTTGTTCCTCAACTCCTCTGAGCTTAACAGAGCAACTCTACTGAGGTCCAAGCCTTCCCTGGAGACCTTTTTTTAATTACTATTGTTCATGTTGCCTTGTGCAATGACACTTCCCGTTATTGAAGGAAAATAGGAATGAAAAATGCCATGAATGAGAGAGTCCCTGAAACCTCACACACAAGAAATACAGATATGAAAGCAGACCTACTTTTATAATCATAATGTAGTCATAATGTAATCCTTTAGACAATTTGTACAAATGTGTTCCTCGATGAGAGCTCTAATGTTGGATAAATATATATTTAGTGGGTTAGTATGAGGTCTTCCACAAAAATGTAGCATAAGGAATAATAAAACACTGGTTTGGGGAGGAATAGAACAGAGGTCTTATCTACACTATATGGTGGATGAATGCTACAGTAATCAATTCACCAGAGGTCTATTTATTGTGTCTGCTGTAGGTGTGATAAATCAATCTCTGAGAGTGCTACTGTTAGCACTGGTACTACACCAAGACAAGTATAGCCGATGTCATTAGGATAGCAGCCCCCATCAATCTTAGTGCACTCAAGATGACTTGGTGAGTATGTTGGCGTTAGCTATGCTATTTGCACAGCTGAAGAAGATTGACATTGCAGGTAAGTGTAGAAAAGGACTTGATGAGGCTCCTAACCAAGGGTATAGGTTAGCATGGGGTCATTAAGTCTCAGTCCCTCCTGTTGAAGGTGTTCTACTTTGTATAAATACTCAAATATGCATTGGATCAGGACTTGAACTCAGCGCTTCCCTTGCCAGGTGAATGCCCCAATCACCAGACTATAGGCAACAATTTCCTGATCAAGTTATTTCATTTGGTATAAAAGGTCATTTGTCCAAAAAGATAAAATGAGTGACTCTTTATCCTGATGATTATGGGAGGAACCTCATTTGGGAGTTAAAAAATGTGGATTCCAATTTTCTCCCTATCTCATTCAGAGAAGAGATTCGAATTCCTCTCTCTCTCTCTCTCTCTCTAGCCCACTAAGTATTTAGTCAGAGTTTAGTTCCAGATTTAGAATTAAATTATTATTTTCAGTTGGTTGTATAATCTTAACAGTGAGGAGATAAAGGTGAGCACATGGAGGATTACAATGAATGAGAAACAAACCTTGTCTTGGTTCTCTTCCTTATTTGTAAATAAAATATTTACACATTTTTTCAATTGTAACTTCCTCTTAGATCCATTGCTCCCTTTTGGACAGATAAAGAGGGGAAAAGAAGAATGTGAAAGATCAACATTTTTTTTAATACGTTTGTTTATTTAAAATGTGTTAATAAAAATTAATGAGAAGCAAAAGAGAAAATCCAATAATATTGTAGAGTTTTATTTTGAAAAGTAATTAGGTAAAAATGTTGTTGGGAAGTGCTTTGTGTGGTAACTTAATCATTTCCATATCATTTTTTTTTCAGCTTAAAATTTCTTCAGTTTAAAAGTAAAGAGGTTTTATTTCAAGTTGTCTGCATGGAAGAACTCAGTCAGGGCTTGTGTTCTTTTCATCTTTTGCATAAACTCAGAAACATCTTAGGGTACATCTACACTGCATGGCTACTTTGAAATAAGCTATTCCGGAATAGTTATTCCAAAATAGCTTATTTTGAAATAGCATACCTACACTTTAGGGAAGCCTCAAAATTAGTCTGAGGCAGGCTTCCCTAATGTAGATGTGCTATCTAGATTTAGAGCCCCAGGAGGCAATGAGGAGGAATAACTTAGAATAGCCCCGGCAGGGGCTATTTTGAAATAGCAGCAATGGAGAGTCTACACACCTTATTTCAAAATAGCTATTTCGGAATAGGCATTGTTGCCAGCAAGAGTAAATCTCGGGTCTGACACTGGGTTCTCAAAGTACAAAGGACACTACCCAGGTATCTGTCAAACATGAGTAGTTTATTTCCTGACAGCTATCAGCTAAATTAGTTAAAGAATTTAGTATATTCTTTAACTAAAAGAAAACATGAGAGGAAAAGCGGCATTTCTTACATCCTTTCTGTTAGTCGGGGAACGCCGTTTCAGCTGCAGATGAAGTGGGAGACTGTCTCAGCTTCCAAGGCGCCAGTACCCAAAGCCCATCAGTGAGGTCCAAATTGCTGTGTTCTGGTGTAGCTTTAAATACTGTATCTCTACCATGTTTGTGGCAGTTTGGAAATTTCCGGGGGTCACTCATTGCTTGTTACAGTATGGCTCAGCTGTACTGATTGTCCTTTGATTTTGTTTACGTGATCAGTACATTTAGGTAAACAAGATTGTTCTGTTCCTGCCCTTATCTACAATTTGTTCTTGCTACAATGGTGTTTGTTCCTGGAGGCTTACTTCTGGCTGATCAGTAGCAAGGAAAGGAGGGCAAATGGGAAAGGGGGAAGAATGCAAGCCTTGCCACCCCATATTTCACACATACATAATTCTTCTGTGATTGACCCCTACAGGCGTTATTCCTCGTAGAATGAGGTTTACAGAGTTTAGAATAAGTTGTCCATTATTTCAAAATTATTTCAAAATAATGGAATGGCTGTGTAGGCTCTCACATTATTATTTTGAAATAACGCTAGTTATCTCGAAATATTGGTGTGTCTAGCACTCTTAGAGAAGAAATCAGTTCACATTCCATCATTTTGGGGTGCCAATAGTTGTGCATATATAATTATGAACACAAATTAAATATTTAGCTCCTTTGCCAAATATATATTGTACGTTAGTTTAGTAACTAAGACCCAGAACTGTTTACTTTTCTAGCACCAAATTCTGTTCACAGACACATATGAAAGTATCATTGAACTGTTCCATTGTACTAATTATAGTGAGAGAGTGTCCCACACACTATCTAAGAAATTAAGGAACCATCTGATCAGTATCCTGTACAAGAAACAAAAGACTATCAAGAATGACATCTCTAACCTTGAAACTCATCTATAGACAAACATCCACACCAGTTACCACTTAGCAGGACTTTTATTCTACTAGACAAGAAATCTACAATACACACTTCTACTCCCTACAAAAAAGAAAAGATATGAAACTTTCTAAACCACTCCATGCCACAGGATACTACAACAGCGACTACCTCAGCCCACCAGATAATATTGTCAACCTTTCTAGTTACAAACTCAGCCCAGCAGAAGAGTCTGTCTTATCCTGAGGTCTTTCTTTCTGCCCACCACCCCCATGAATTGGGTTCAATTCTGTGGTGACCTTGAAGTCTTCTTTCACCACTTCTGTCTACGGGAATACTTCCAAGTTACCAATGAACATCAAGCTGACTGACTAGATCCCTCCTACCAACACTAAAAGAAAAAAAATTCTATGTGGACTTCCCTTGACAGTTGTAACGACAGCCTGGATTTCTATATTCAGTGCTTCTGCAACTGTGCACAGACTAACATTATGAGCAAACAACAAGTGACATATAATCTCAACCGTACTGAACGCTATGCTATCCAGAGTGTCAAAAATACCTCTGACATTATAGTCAAGCTGGCTGACAAAGGGGTGCTGTGGTCCTGATGAATAAGTCACATTATGAACGGGAGGCAGCTAGACAACTCTCCAACACCACATTTTATAAACCTCTCTCCTATGATCCCACTTTGGAATACCAAAAGAAACTACTTCTTAAGGACCTTCTTCTTAAGGAGGTCCCTGCCTCTACTTGGAACCAAATTCACAAAGACACACCTTCTGAACCCCAACCAGGATTATTCTATTTGTTTCCTAAAATCCCTAAACCTGGACACCCCGGACAACCCATCATTTCAGGTATTGGCACACTCACTACTGGGTTATCCAGCTATATAGACTCCCTCCTCAAACCCTATGTTACCAACACTTCTAGCTATCTCTGAGATACCACTGGCTTCCTAAGGAAATTACAAAACATCGATAACCTTCCTGATAACACCATCCTTGCCACAATGGACGTAGAAGCTCTCTACACCAATATTCCACGTGAAGATGGACTACAAGTGATTAGAAACATTATCCCAGAGGTTACCACATCTAATCTGGTATCAGATCTGTATAACTTTGTTCTCATCCACAAGTATTTCCAATTTGGAGACAACTTATACATCCAGATCAGCGGCACAGCCATGGGTACCCACATGGCTCCACAGTATGCTAACATCTTTATGGCTGACTTAGAACAATGTTTCCTCAAATCCCATCCCCTATTACTCTTCCTTTACTTAAGCTACATCAATGACATCTTTATTATTTGGACTCATAGTCAAGAAACACTGGACACATTCCACAGAGATTTTAACAACTTACACTCCACCATCAATCTCAACCTGAACCATTCGACACGAGAGATCCATTTCCTGGACATCACAGTACATATCACGGTGGGAATGCAGAAGTGCCTACTGACTAGTTGAGTAGTCGATGGAAATTCCATCTAGTCAATTAACCGATATTTTACATCCTTAGTATGGGCCATCGGCACCAACTCCATGGGTGCTTTGATACAACCACATCTGCTCTAATCCCACTGACAGAGACCAGAAACTTCAGGATCTCTACCAAGCATTTATAAACCTCAGTTACCTACCTGGAGAAATAAAAAAGCAAATTGAAAGAACCAGACGAATACCCAGAAACTGTCTACTTCTAGATAGGCCCAAGAAAACCAACAATAGAACACCACTTGTCATCAGCTATAGCCCCCAACTTAAACCCCTCCAACGCATTATCAATAACCTACAACCTATACTAGAACAGGATACTACACTCCGAGAGGCTCTGGGGGACAGACAATCACCTAACCACAGGGCATACCACATTAAAACTATCCCTGGAACTTTCCCTTGCAACAAACTCCATTGCCAACTTTGTCCACATATTTACTCTGGAGACCCAACATCACTGGACCTAACCATGTCAGTTATACAATCAAGGACTCATATTCCTGTACGTCCAGCATCAAGCATCTCCACACAGAAAAACCTGTTACTCAACATTTTAATCTAACTGGCCATTCCCTTAAAGACCTGAAAACATGCATCTTACTTCAAAAAGACTTTAAGACCAGATTACAAAGGGAGACTTCAGAACATGTATTTATGTTTAAATTTGACACTATTCGAATGGGCATTAATAAAGGTGCTAATTACCTTACACATTCAAAAGACAGCATCCCCATCTTTTGATATTCGTAGTAACTCCAGATTTGCCACTTATTGACTCTTTTCTTGTCTCTTCCTTGCCCCCACTTTCTGTTCTTGTAGCTGATTGTTAGTTTATAATCTGATTAATTTTTTCATTGTATTCCTTTGTTATATATGGTCATGCCAATTCACTTTCAGAATATGATCTGAAGAAGTGGGTCTGACCCATGAAAGCTCATCACCTAATAAACTATCTTGTTATTCTTTAAAGTGCTACATCTTTTTTTCCTTTTGTTTTATTGAACACAATGTGAGTTGTGAATATTCTAATGGTAGGATTTGCCCCACAACATATAAAGAGGCTGATTCCCACCTGAGAAACAGAGCTGACATGTTTGTTTAGAGTTGAAAAGGGGTATGGCAATCATGACTAAATTGAGA